GCATTTTTAGTGCATTTTTAGTGCATTTTTAGTGCATTTTTAGTGCATTTAGGAAGCTGCAAAAGTTAGAAAGAAAGATATGTGCAACAATTTACCTTTAGTTTGTATTTAGGTACATACTTTCTTTTCTCTCCTTTTACTTAACAGATAATCACCACAGCAGTGGTCCTGTTCATCAGCATATTGATGTCAGGCATCTCACTTATGTGCATGAACAGAAATAGACAGGAGTCGAACTATGAGGTACTGAACCCATATTCACCTCACAGCCAAGTGGAAGGGAACGAGGGGAATCAAGTTTCAGCCACTGTGCCTCAACCTTCTGCAGGGTCTCCTGCACAACCTTCTGCAGGATCTTCTGCACAACCTTCTGCAGGTTGTTCTGCACAGCTGTCTGCAGAAAGAGGTATAGAAAGTAGCTTTGTAAGAACAAATTAACAGCTTGGGATACAAAAATAAACAGAACTGTTCTAAATTTAATTCTGACCTGGGAGGGATTGTTGTTTATAACTTCAAATGTGAAGTTAGTTAGAAAGAAAAATCTAGATATAACTGTCCAAGAACTTAGGTTTATGTTTGTAGGGAAGGTTTGATTATTATTATTGTAAAGTGGGGGAAGTAGACGGGGAAAAAACAAACAAACATGTATGTGGGTTTTCTGTAAGTGATAGTGTTGTCATATGCATATGATAAGTTCAGTCTAGTAGTTGTCACAGGTTATTTACCCAATAAACTGTCTCTCTGAGAATGAGTTATATGCCTTCAACGTTGCTAATGCTACAGCAGTTGTTACTCGTTGTTTGACTTTGGCTTTCTTACTCACTTCTCTTGTGTTCTTCTTCTAGCTAAAAGCGCCTGTGTTGCTTCCATGGTGGTAGTGCTTTGTTAAATATTTCTATGTATTTGTAATAAAATGCATGTGTGCTCTCAGCAAATTGGAACGATTGTCTGCTTTCCCCTTTTAGATTATTTGTGAATATACTGAAGTATAGCATATAGTGTTATAAAGAGAATAAATTATGGCCTTGAAGGAAACTAACTATCTTATAATCCTTAATAGGTTGCTGTTCTTGTCAAATGACAAATGGGGAAATACCCTGTGCTAAGGAGGGCAAAGCAGTGCCAAATACTGTTGACAACAAGGTTCCTTCAATTGAGACAGGTAAAACAGCAGTGTATCCTTGTTTTAATATTACAGACTGAAATGGGTTGCCCAGAGAAGCTTTGGATATACCCTGTTACCTGGCAGTGTTCAAGGTCAGGTTGAATGGGGCTTTGGGCAACCTGGTCTAAAAGACCTCTCTGCCTGTGGCAGGAGGATGGGATGGTTTCACACCAATGGCCAATTAAACTCTGCCTGAATGCTCACTCCTCTTCCTCAAAGGAAGATGAGGAAGATAAAATATGATGTAAGGGGGGGGGAAGGGGAAGGAAAATCTCAAAGTATCAGATAAGGATAACAAACTAAAGGGAAAAGAAAGGTGAGAAGGAAAAAAACAAGCACAGAGAGGAAAACAACAACATTTATTCTCTGTTTCTCATTATCAAGTGATGTTAAGTCACAGCTTGGGGATCAGAACCTCAGTATGTGTGGCAGTTGTTCAGGACAGGTGTTTTCATAACAAGAGCAGCCTTGGCTATGTCCTCTCCCCAGCTCCTGCCCAACGCCAGCCTGCTGGGTTTGGGAGCTTGGAGAGAGCCTCGGTGCTGTGCCTGTGTTGCTTAGCCATAGGCAAACACTGAGGCTGTTCAAGCTACAAGTGCAGAGCACAGCTGTGTGTAGGCTGCTGTGGAGGAAGTGAACTCTGTATCAGTCAGACACAGTACAGATGGTCTTTAAGGTCCCTTCCAACCCAAACCATTCTGTGATTTTATGGTTGACTCTTCCACAGCATTTGTGTGTGTTGCACTCATAGTGAAACTATTTGTTCTCTCAAGTCAAACAGTTGTTCTCTCAACTCTGCTTCAATAACTTATATTTCATATTAAATTCAAGAGTTGATATGTGCATTGGTATTTATGCTGCTCTTGTTGTTTATTAGAAATCTTTAATTGCTTAAGAGTGACAGTTTTGCATATGCTTGGTAGATCTGTTTTTTTGGGAGGAGTGTGATTGCTAAATGTTAAATTGCTAAAATCGAGACAAAGTAGGACTAAAGTAAACTTATTACATACTCAGATTCAAATCTTATTTCCACCCTGAAGTCTTTAAAGCTTTTATTGTAGTCATGCACAGATTTTGAATAAAAAACTTTAGGTCTAGAAAAGCAAGTACTTACTGCAGACTAGATCAAATGTCCATGCTGCTGTATTATCCAAATCTTGGGGAGAAACGTGGAGAAAATCAACTGAGGGGGCCTTAGGCGTCACTGAAATTGAGGAATGGATCAAAGTGGCTGTTCAGCACCTATTGGAAAATTGCATGCTCAGCCCATTCTTGTCGTACATCACTTTCAACAATGAAAGCTATCCGCAGGGCAGCCTTTTTTTTCTCTATTTTTTTCCATCTTTAACAAGGTAGTCCGTATCCATATGCTTTATCTGAATGCAGAATTACTTCAAACAAAACTAAATATTCCATGCTGAAACGTACTTTGTTTTATCTCCTTTCATAGTACGTAGCTTTCTACTTATTGCCAACTATTTTTTTTATGAAGTAGTTCAGACAAACACCATAACAAGGTCTTCCAGGGATAGGGGAAGGGCAATTTAATTTCCTTACTGTAAGAGATAAGGTATTTTGAATCTTATGATTAAGTGGGATTTTTTTTTTTTGTCTATGGACTGAACAATTCAAGAACTATAAATCCCTAAAAGTGAACTGTAATGGATACATGTGTGTAACTGACTGCATTCATTACCAATCCTTCAGTTATTCCCTTGAACTATGAAAGGTATTTGGTGTAAAGTCTTAATATGTCCTTCACTGTAAGTTTTTCACTGCCATCTAGAGGAATATGCTCAGAATTGCTGAGAACTCCACGTGAAAGAAAAGCATCTGTTCTCTGTGTATTTGCTTCTTTTAATTAATAGAATTATGGCAATGTCTGTTATACCCTGTTAGAAATACAGTAGCAGAACTGAAATAAATACGGTTGCTTTTCTGATGTGGCAGCACTGAGATATGGAGTATAAATATTGCAGCTGCTGTATACTTAGAATATTCATTCCATACGTTAATTCTAGGTTTAAAATCTGTTCTGAGGAAATTGCTACTGTTTCATTATTGCTAATTCTTAACCAGAATTTCTATTAGTCCTTTGAAGGAAGAATTTTGTTGTGAAGTTTCTTCATCTTAGGAACACAAACTGTTCCATTTGAGGATAGATGTCTGAACTGGTGGTTTCAAAGCTAGCATTATGTGTGTAGGTCTTCAATACAAACACAAGGTGATTTAACAAGTTGTGTTAGTGAGTTTACTTATCAGTTTAGAGATTGTAAGTTAGCCTAATGAAAACTTCTGGTTTGTTTTTCAGCCGATCAGTGTGTGAATCAATGTAGTGCTCAGACCTGCGTGCTGGCTCAGGAAGAACAGCTTCTACAGACTGGAGACAAACAGCTGGCCAGACACGTGCTGCTGTGCTTGCTTCTTGTTGTTGGCCTTTTTGCTGTAAATATTTTTTTTCTCCTCCCTGTTGTTTCTCTCATTGAGGTGGGACCATTTTTAGGAAGGCTATGTAGACAGCCCAGTTAAAAAAAAAAAAAATCTTCCAATTCCTATTTTTTATAGTAATATATTAAGTAAATCAGAGGCTTTATTTTTTTCTCCTATTGTAGGAGGAGGTGTATCATAAGATTAATTTATTGTGTGGCACAGAAAAATTAAAGGCAAGTTAAGGCCAACAGTGTCAGTGAGCAAGCTTCACTGGAGAACCCCAAAGGGACAGGAAAAAATTGGAATCACATCATTGGGTAATTAATTCATCACTACCACTCCTTGTCCTATTTTTTTCTCAAGAGCTAGTCATCTTCTCTAGATATCAATTGAAAGTATGAAGCAAATTCTGCTTCTGAAAGAGTCTGTACAAAAATTGTTCCATTTGATCATGCCTTAATTTGGAATTTGGACTTCATAGAGGCATTTTGGTAAATAAGATACGTAAGACATTATTTGAAATGGAAGAATGTGTTTTTGTTGCTTTTCATGCTTATTTGGGGACAGGCAACTAAGTTGATATTTCCTATTAAATTAAAAAAGAAAATATACTCTGAAACCTGCAGGAGAAATATATCTTGGAAAAGAATATTAGATACGTTTTCTGTGTTACAGTGGTGTCCCAAATTAGACCCTCTATTTTCAACTGAATCCAAATGAATACTTAAATATGATGAAATGAGATCGATTATATTAGTTCGTTATCCTTTTCACCCAAAGGGGTTAACTTTGGATGCTTTAATTAATCAGGTATCTGAGATAGCTGAAGTGTGGTGTGCTTCAGCTTAATGCAATCTTAACTATGTAGAAAATATGTAGAAAGCAATGGTGTCAGCCTCAAGACAAATATTGCAAGTGTGTCTAGGTTAATATTGTCTGTGTTAGCTTGAATACTTGAGAATGCTTAAAGCAAGTTCCTTGTATAAACATGTGAACAGGCAGGACCTCTACACTGATATGCTTTTTAAAACAAACAAGCTCATTTGTTTACTCCCAGCAATTAAGTCTAATTACAATAATGTTTTAAAGTGTTTTTTCTCTCCTGCTGTCTTCATGTGAATTATTTGTTAAATAAATGCAGGTGAAGAATAAGAAGGTGCTTTTGATTTTAACGTTTGGTTTGTACTATTTTATTTTTCTGTTTGTTTTGTGTTTTTTAACAGAATCTTTCCAGCTGTTTATGGTGGCTGTTCAACCAAGAACCTGGAAGACTGTATGTGGAATTGCAGTTCTTTTGTGCTGTGTTTAATTTTGGTCAGGTACTTGCTGATGTTTATTTTGAAAATAGCTTTGTTGATGTTGCAGCTCGTGCTGTTACAAGTGCTGTATGATGAAGTCCTCAAATAATACTGAAGACACTGGTTCCTTAAGCTGTTTTGATTATCTTCCCTCTGAATTTTTTCTTTTCTTTTGATAGTTGTCTTATCATAATGTGATTGCCTTGAGTATGAGCACTTTAAGAGGTACAAATGGCAGCTGAGTGCCAAATGTCCATTGAGACAGAGTAGAATTTCAGCTTTCTTTTTAGCAGAAAATTTCTGCATAACTGCATAGGTACAGTATAGCTACATAGATACTTTGGCTATAGGGCTTCAAGTTGCTACCTCTGCAGTTGCAGTTTCTTCACTATTAAGTAATACTTGACAGAATTAGATGTACAAATGTTGCAACTGCACATAACTTACTTCAGTGCAAACTGACATGTTAGACTGGTGGACTACGAAGATGAAAGCAAAACGGTGTTAGTACTTACCACAGGGAGTATTGCTCAGGTCTGTGGACAAGTGCGCCTCTGAGATGCAGTGCAGAATCAAGTAATGATAGTCTGGCTTTGTTACAAAAGCAGCATGGAAGAATAGTGGGAGAACATTACAGCATGTAAATTGTAGTCAGTTCTTTTCTTGACATTAACAAAGAGATTGAAATAACTGGCTGTGTAAAGATACTGACATTTTGTTCATCAGATAGCTTACTTATTGAACTGCTTCTTTGAGAATTTATTTGACAGACTTATATATTTTAAGGACTAAGTGAAAAAACAAAGCAGAAACAAAATGAATTTCAAATAGTGACTGGGAAAGAGAGATACTCTTAATTTGTGTTTTGGCAATTAGTTGTTAACATTTTATTTCTATTCTTCAGAAGTCAAAATTTTTTGCTTAATCTATTTCCTCTGTGTTTTTTCCTTTAGGGCTTCATTTCCTTTGGTATTTTTGGCTTAGATAAGCATTTAATCATTCTGCCATTCAAGCGAAAGTAAGTAGAACATTTACACTTATATGTACAAGTTTAATTATTAACAGCAATAATTTTAAAAGAGTTCTGAGTGTTCTGTGCCATAGCATTCAATTCCGTATTTGTTTTATTTTTAAAATTTCTTCTTCTCTCCCAGCTATGGAGAGCTAATTGCAGTTCACTATATGTGAGTTTTTACTGCTGCCCTGATACACTCGCACTGACTAAAATCTCACAAACTCCCAATAGACAAAATCCTTGTCTAACGATGGTAAAGCATGTAGTACTGGGTCTTCAGAAATAATTTCAGCTGAAGAGAAAGATTTATTTGTGAGTGCTGGTCCTGATTCTTTCAGCACTGTTTTAAAGTCCTCTAATAATTAGCTCGTACAAGTTCTTTGTGTGGATGGAGACTTTCATTGGTACCTCACTTTGAAGAAGTAAATTGTACAAAATCATCTTTAAATTAGAGCTAGGTGGCTGCGCTGTGAATCCAGCAGTGAGGGCTGTTTCCCAGCTACTCTCTGTCCTTCCTTCTGCCTGAGCCCAAAGTAAAACTTCTCAGTGTTCAAAGGGCGTACAAGTATATTAGGAAGATTATATTAAAAACATTTGCAGAAAAACAGTGAAAAGCCATGATGAGATTCCTGTGAGTTCCATTCTTATTTTCAGTTTCCTTGAAAGAGCCTTTGTTTGATTTATTTATTTTTTTTTTTTTGTTACTCCCATCTCTCCACCCCAGGCTTGAATGGCTCTGGGGAGGCAGAGAAGCAGAAGGGCGTGCAGATCACACTCTACCTGAGGAAATCAGGATGACCTGTCAACAGTTTGTTCATTATCACAGAGATCACTGTGTCAAAAGCATTGTCAAAGGCAGAAGGTAAGGTTTTCCCCCTTCATATTTAACCTGTTAACAAAGCTCATAGCTCACCTTTTGGAAATAATGAAATGCAGTACAGTCATTCTGTTGGTGATTTCTGTTCTGACCTATTTACTCAAACCTTCAAGAGAAGATTAAGAATTTTGCAGTAACATGTAGAAAATATTTCTTGTCTAAGACTGAAATGCTGAGGTACAAATTGTCATGTTATCTCATCTAGGTTTGATGGTTTTGTAGCTTCTCATTGAGTCCTGCCCCAGTTCTTGCAATTAGCAGGAGTTTAGGAACTAATGTATGTTCAGTGTCTGTAACAGCATGTGTGATGCTTCATTTTTGTCTTCTAATTAATAAGGTGTTTGTATTTATGGTAGAAAATGTTACTAACAGCTATTGCAGGAGGCAAAACTATGGCAACAGAGGCACTTACTGTCTGAGAGTGGAACGTCTTTAGGACTTTACACCTTTTGAGTTCATACAGTTTCTTTTGCTGATTCCTCTCATGAACCTTAAACCCCAATTGTGAGATTGCCCAAGCTTGCAGACCCAAATTATGATCAAAGATCGTAATGATCAAAGGTTATGTATTCAGTTATGTTCAGGTGGATGAGAAGAGAAATGCAGACAGAAGCATCTGGAATAAGAAAAAGATACTTGCCTGCAATTATATATCTAGTATGTAAAGCAGAGAGATGAAGAGTTGTTTGAACAGGACGCTTTTTTTACTTCTCTTGGCATGGAAGCTCTCTAGTAGGACTAGTTCTGCAGGGGGAGATTCTCTCAATAGTCAGATAATCTGAAACCATATTCCAGAACTATTTCTTTGGCAGCTGTGTTCCCTAAGAAGTAAAAGTAGAGAGTTATTAACTTAGGAAAAAAAAAAATGAACTATGGCAGGGCAAGGACTTGCCATACAGAAATGAAGTATTGGAAACTGTTTTGAAATAAGACGGGTTTTAAAGCTCTGTGTTTGTGTTTTTGCACTTCTGCTATTGAGGTTTCTTGGGTTTTGGGCTGTTTGGTTAGTTTTAGTGTTTTGTTTTTTTGTTTTTTTGTTTTTAATTATGTATCATCTGAGAATACATCAAAATCTGACTTTAAGTGCTTTATTGTTTTCATTTTATGTTCGTGCAGAACAAGTTTCATATCTTTTTTTTTTCCTCCCTGTGGATTAAGATGAAGCATTTATATTTGTGTAACTTGATCCTATCCTCATTGATTTGAACATGCTATAACTGAGACCTTCTGATCATGGATTTCTATTTGTTAGATTTTTTTTTCTCTCTTATGATAGTAACTTGCTATCTGTTACTGCTGCTTTTAACTTGGATTAAAAAAAAAAAAAAAAAAAGAGGGAAAAAGAAATATAAGTTTATTTTTTGCTATTCTGTACAATTGTTAATCATCTTCAGAAACCCTATGCTTGGTTTCCATAGAGGAGATTTTAGATGAGCAGAAACATTCATTGCTGCAGGTAAATTTCAGAATGGTATTTCACTGCAGCAAGGCTAGATGTCAGTGGAATTACTTCATGAATCTGTTATGTAAGTCAGTAAATTAGTTGTCTTCTTTCATTTATTCTTAGTACTGCCTGCTGTAGTAAATATTTAACCAGATATTCAAGTTAAACAGTCTTTGTTTACGATGTATGTAAGCAGCTGTTTTCTGCTTGAAGCTGGAGAGGAATTATTAAACGGTATTGAAGCACAGGCGGAGGTCCTGCTGCTGCAGGCATGCTGCACCCAAATCATATTTTGTTGCAGAAATGGTCATGCTAATGAGTGCATGAGAAATAAGTAGTCACTAAATAGGCTTGCGCTATGTGTGCTAGTAGGAAAACTGCTGCTTCTGTTTGTTGATATTTATTTACAGAGGCCTAAAATAACTTTATGTAAATTTCGCTTGAAGTGTCTGTAGGAAAAGGTAGTGAACACTGGCATGTCCCTAATACGCAAAACTTGCAAATTCTCCTCTAAACTAAACATGCTCTTAACTATCATGATGTCTTTCCTTGTTTCCTGCTATTTTTCCTTGCCTTTCCCCATCGTGCAGTGGTGATACCAGATTTACAGAACATGTGGGTGAATCATTCCTTTGACATACAGGTGTGGTGCAAAGACCTCCACTGGCATCTTCTTTGGCTGTGATCTGGTGAACTGGCTCATCCAAGTTGGCCTCGCCTCTGACCGTGGTGAAGCTGTGATGTACGGAGACAGACTGATGAAAGGAGGTGTCATCCAGCATATTACAAATGAATTTGAATTTCGGGATGAATATTTATATTACCGCTTTGTTCAAAAGAGAGCAACTACAGCTGAGAGCCAATGACCTGAGCATGTAGACAGAGGGCAGGCAGGTAGGGGTAAATGTGACCATCTCTTCTGGGTTTGCTGCTGAAACTGGAAGTGGTTCTTTCTCAGGGCTCCTGGAGGGTCCTGTTACCTTCTCGTGTAAAGTTCAGAAATGTGGTTCTACGTCTGTCTATTCTGAAGCAAACGATAGCCATTCTCAGTGAGTGCTAAACCAGAAAGCAACTAGATCAAAGCAAGATACTCTGGATTTCTTCCATTTTCAGCAAAACAAATAGTAAATTAGTATGCATCACTGACATTATTATACAGACACTTACAACAGCAACTTTAGTGACTGGTGCACAATGGAAAAAAAAACATATCAGAGGGGAATATTTCATGTCACTGTATGTTTTATAGTATTTCAGCGTGATGCAATCTTGATCCTTGTTCAAGGTCAAGCTCCCACTTCATAGAAATAAGACTTATTCCATCATATCTCAGTTTTTACTACTGCATACTTTTGCATAACACCAGAAACTTTTTCTGGCTGTTTACACCTCACACCAAGCAGTTTGTTTCCCATTTAAACATAAAATCCTCCTTTTCTAATAACAGAATTCTTATGAAGAGATTACAGCGTCATAGAATTAAAGCTGAGGAAATAAGGAGTGAATAAAAAATAGTTTTCTACAAAGATACTGCAGAAACATACAAAAATAATCCCCACTTCTCAAATTAGGAAACGATGATGTATTCTTACATAAACAGCTGGTTCTGAAGTTTTCTCTTTTAGTGGTGGTAACAGCTTTGTCAAGAGTGGATTTTTACTGTCTGGAGTAAGCCTCCATTATAATTCAGAAGTGCCAGCCTCAGATAGAGAACGTGTAGAAGCCTAGGACACCTGTGCAAGTCAAGATCCAACATTTTATTAAGCCATGAGATCTTTTAAATAACATGCATTGACTTCTAAGTCTATTCTATAAACAACCCTAACGGAGCATCAAGGTTAAGGTTTACAAAAGCTGGAGATATTAGAATGTTGTTATTGGGCATGTAACAGAGTTTTCAAATAGGCCTCAGGTATCCCTCTGTGATGTTAAGTGGTTAATCCAGTGTCATTCAGATTCTCATGCACTGAAAGCAAAAACTTCAAGAGTAGTTTGAAGAGGTTAAAGACAAATTGCAGTATCTGATAGCCATTACGCTGCTAGGAAAAGCAGTTCTAATGCTGAAAGAAGGCATTTATTTGTCTATATAAAATGTTATATAATGAGGGAAAGGAACAAAAATACTAAAATAGTATTTGCACATCTGGAATAGTCAAGGAAATGACTTTTTAAAAAAGCATCCTTTAATTTAACTTTATTTTTTAAATACAGATTTTATGACAGCTACTTATGTGTCTACTTTGTATTAAGAACTGAAAATGATTTTAGCAGCATAATCTATTGTTCAGGAAACAGTCATTTTATGGTAGCTATAACTTTGCAAAAGATTTCAGTCTTATTGCAAACCTTCAGTGTACTCTGACACATAACTACATAGGTACGCTACACAAACTGATATATTTTAATGGTTCCAGCAACAAGGTAATTGACACTTGTATTGGGCTGTGGCCACAAAAGAAAACGATAGTTTGATTTCCATTAGAATTGCTGAAGACATCAGACATTTTGGAATGACTAGATGTACATGTCTAAAGAGCAGAAGCTATATTCTAAATATTGTAACTTATTAATAAATCTGATATTGATTTCAGAGTTCTGGTTGTGGTGTGATGCAAGGCATGTGGGGTTACGTGTGCATGTGAGTTGTACAAGAAGTGCTTCTTTCTGAGAGATTGGTTGACGTGGCTCCTGGATTTCAGATTTGCTATGGGGAGTATGCGGAGTGGTGGTTAATGGATGTCCACCAGTTTTCTTCTAATTGCATGCCTGCTCCTGATGCCAGCAAGGAGCTAATTCAGATCTTCAGAAATGTTTTGAAATCATCTCCTTAGCAAATACTTTTTATTTCAGAAAACTGTTCAGATGTTCAAGCTTAACTAAGCTCAGTTTGACGGCCCTAAGTTTAGTCGTCATTCTTGCACTCAGCTCTCATTTTCATCATGATGTCCTTGCCTTGGCCTCTTAGTAATGGCTCATTCCTAGAACCAAATCTAGCACTTCCCAGATTTGAAAACAGCATAGCTGTTTTAAATAAGAAATTGCTCAAAATGTTTGCTTAGAGATGTTTGCTTTAAAAAATCTACTGAAAAAGGACATCTTTTGATAACAACTGACAAATACGGTTAGATGAACTGTTACAACACTGTGACTTCTGATGTAGCTAGTCTGATGAGAGTCTATGATGATTAACAAAAGAAACTGTAAAACAAATATGGAACATACTAATATATTTCTAAATCATTGGAGACTTTTGGAAGTGAAGGACAGGCTTAGAGTAACATTAGGAAGTTATTTAACTCTTATACCTGACAAATATTTGATTCTACTTGGGAGCACCAGTAGACTTTAAAATAGTTGGCAGTTAAGTGTAGAGCAGTTGCTTATCTAGTGATGTTTTTGTAAATGGCTTTGCTTTTAAGCCTTGGTCAGTGATGCAGTGAGTTCTGTTTTTTGAAGGTTGGTTAGCTTAGGACAGATATCAGTTAACTCGGAAGCTGTTTGTTTTTTGTATTTTTTTTAATTATTAGTTTTTAAATAATGATCCTTAATTAAGTTCGAGATTTAAAAAAAACAAAGAACCCTGTAAGACATTTCTAGGTGAAGTACATGCAAAGATTGCCCTCTGGAGGACATTGTGATGTATATATTTTTTAAGTACGGTTGTGGGGGGGTAGGGCTATTCATTCCTTCTGCACTCATCTTGTGTTTTGTACCACATGTGTACTAAGATAAAATCCCAGGAAGAAAGGTAACAAAATATCTTCTACTCTGTTGGCCATGACTTGGTACATCTGAACACATCATCTTGTTTTTACTGTGTATACTGTAGACAAATAACTGAAAGACAACATAGAAACTGGAAGAACAGCTGGCCTATATCTGCATATATTACAGTCTGACCAATGTGTGTTTAACCTGATAACCTGGTTAATTGCTGTCCTGAGATTAAGTGGCCAAGAAGTTTGCTTAAAGGCCTGGTGCAACCACCTTCTCTACTTCCATTACTTTGTAAATTTACTATACTTGCAGTGTAGCATAAAATTGTGTATCTCATTTTCCTATGCTGCTTCTAAACTTATCTCTTACCTTGGTTTCCTGCACAGTTTTATTCGGCATTTATTTCTTCTTTGAAGTTATCGTGGAGCTAGTGTGGAAAAACTGATGATCCAAAATAGGACACAGATGCAAATTAATTGTCAGATACAGATATTCATGAGGATAACGGGTAAATACAGCATATTTTAATTAAATATACCATTTAGTTCACAAACATGCACTCTACTATTGAATTTCTAAGAAATGATGATGGTAAGACATGCACAAAAGGTTGACAGTTGACTCAAGCTTATTTCCTTAGACAGCCTTATTACTGCCACTCAGTCAGTATATGATCTATATATACATGATCTATATAGGAAGTTGAAGAACTGTTACACTGACCCATTCAATTCTCGGTGTGGATCTGAATATGCTACCACCACATTAATCAAAAAGAACAGATCTGATCAAGTTTTCTTCATCTTATTTGTTTGGCAGCATATTACAATCCTCATTTTATATGTATTTCTTATATCTGCCTAGAATGCTTTTTCTCCTGGGAATATAGAATGGCTTGCAAAATATCAAAACTTTGTTTAGTTTTCTTACATCTGAGATGACTCCAGAAACTGAGGAATATAAAGCATTCATCAAAGGAATGGTCTTTCTGTGGCCTGTAGGGATATTGCATCTGTCTATCTTGTCTATCACTGTCTATCACTACTATCACTGTAATTTCAAAGCTCCATTTCATTTTACACATTCTCTTCTGAAGGTCCACAGAAGCACTGAGATTTTTTTCCTTGGCTTGTAATTTTTATCA